GGGCGTATCAATATTTTGAACCTTGAAAGTAGACCTATTTATGGGCCGGGCTTGGACTTGGCTTTTGTCAAATTTTCAATGGACCCAGCCCGAAACCTAAGCCCAATATAATATAAAGTTAGGCCCAAAGCCCGGACCGTGAACAGGTCTACTTGGAAGGAAGTGGCTACTTTAAATGGAAAAGAATGAAGGTAACGTAAGAGGGTTATCAGTCTACGAATAAAGTAGGATACAAGAAGATGCGGTCACCACTTTATATTAAACCACACAATAAAAAAGGGGTAGGAAGGTGGTGCAAGTTTTGCAAAATTTGCATTACCAATGGATGCAAAAGAGATAAAAGGTATGAATTTTGTATCAGAATAAGAATGCAAATCATAATTACAAATAAGACTATGTTTGGAAATGCTGCAAATATGTAGAGTGTAAAATTGTTCATATAAATTGCAAAATTGGGTTAGTTTAATAAATTTACATTCTTATAAAACAGACTTTTAGCTGTAATGGATTTAAACATGAATTCCAATAAAGCATATGCTTTTTTTTTTATCAAAAGCCCACTTGAATGCAAATTTACTTCTTTTTTATTTATGTACTTTTACATCTTATTATCAATGTAAATATGCATTGGTATGTCATTGTCAATGCATAAATGTAATGTTACCAAACGCAAGAAAAGTGAACCAGAGTGCAAATTTACCTTGAACCGGAACTTACACTCCATTTGCATCGTTTCCAAACGCAGCCTTAAAGGAAATCAAATTTAAAATAAAAACCAGATCATAATTCCAAATAAAGGAAAGCAAATCTAAACCAAAAACCAGTCATAAATTTTACTCCTTATAAAGATTTGCACTACAACCAAATGTAGCCTAAGCAAAAAAAAATCTTAGACATAAGGTCTATGGGGTTACCAATTGTCCCAGGGCCAATCAAGTGGAAAGAAACATTATAGGCATGTAGGAATAATGGGGCAGAGTGGAGTCGGGTTTTGCATGTCCCATCCCAATCTCGAATTGAGATGCCCTGCTCCAAACCCCACCAGGGCTGAAATCCAAGCCCCATCCCCACAAGGAACGGGATCCCCGAATTTGCCCCGCCTAGGGGGTAGCCACAAGCCGAGCCTTTCACGAGCTATTTGAGCTTGGTTCGTGAAAAGCTCAGCTCGGCTTGGTTTAAACCAAGCTTCAAGCTAAATTCAAGCCCGATATATAGGCTCGTTTGCTAATCGAGTCGAGCTTGAGCCAAATGAAACTTGGCTCGTGAGGCTTGCGAGCCTAGTATTAAATAAATCATTTTTATTATATATAATAATATTTTTTATGTATAATAGTAAATAATTTTTATAATTCTTAATTTTGTCTATAAAATAAAATAAAAATAATTTTATACATATAATTTGTATTTTTTAAAAAACATTTGGCTTATAGTCAAGCTCGAACATGCAAGCTATGAATTGAGTCGAGCTCGAGCCTGATACTATTCCTGCGAGCTGAGCTCGAATAACCAAGTATTTGGCTCAACTCAGCTCGAATCCACCCCCCTAGCCCTCTGCCCTACCCTTGTCATCCTACTTGCATACTTACAAATTTATTTATTTATCTTTTATTTTTTAAACCCACCTAAAACTATTTTTATATAATATAATATAATATGTATTGAGAATTTTATATATACTATGTTATATAATATAGTTGGGGCAGGTTCAGTGCAGAATCGACAAATACCATCCCCATTCCATCTCCAATCCCCTAAATTTTGGATTCTCCCGAAACCTATCCTAAACCCTTATCAATGGTCAAGAAACACACCTCAACTAGGGTGGGTGGGGCAAAACCCCATGGGTACAGGTCAAATTCCCAATTTCCCATCACGTCTAAAAGAAATCGGATGAGCTCCCCATCGAACATGTCCGACAAGCACTCCACAGCCCATCTACCATGCTTGTCATGGGAAAACGTTCCCAAATCACGGAGGGGGTGGGCAGTGGGGCGCGCTCTCTTGGGAGCCCATCCCGGACATAGATGTACACAAGACCCAGGATGTGAGAAACAAGCACTACAAATATCATAGCCTTGGGAATTGTGAATGCCAATATTTGTAGGTAATGGACTATGTACAGGTAGCGGTGGCAATTGGGCAAGTTGGGTTGGGTTCAACCTAAACCCACATTGATCTAATTCAATCCGTCCAAACCCATTAATTTTATATTTATGTACTTAAAACAAAAAACTCCCACCTGGCAAATAAGTTGGTCATAGCTCGGTGGTGATAGTAGTTGTTATTTACACAAGTTGTGCATATTCGAATCACAGTCCATGCATGTTATTTTTACACAAGTGGCGAAGCCATTTGGTTATGTTCGAATTTTGGGTTTAAATGAACCACTAGGTTCAAACTGGTCAGACCTTAAACTATCTAATTAGATTATCTTCGAGCTAATCACATTAAGACCGGTTGAACCGTTTAGATTTGGATCAGTCTAATCGAACCAAGCCAAAGCAACTCAATCAATGTAGGAATGACTCAAACCAACCCATATTAGGTTGTGCACCGGTTTGGGACTGAACCAGGTCGAGGAAAATAAATCGGGTCGGTCCAAATTTGGGTCGCATTGTACAAATAGAGGTTGGGCCGGCGATCCAAACTAGCCAAAGCAAGTGGGCAAGATCGTACCGAGCATGGGTCAAAGCAATCCACCCGGGTCTAGTTTGGATTCGGGTTGACCCATATTGGCCTGATCTGGATTGGGTTGGATTCAAACCAAGGACTTAAATATCGACACGCGTATCATACCAGACTATCGATATCGGTTAATAATGGTACGAATACACAACGAATAGAAACGTATCTCGTAAGTCGTTCATACCGCATCGGTATGAGATGATACACGCGAAACGCCACGTCTCTACTTTATAAAAAATGCAGCTATGCCGATTCAAAGGCAAGTCATTCGGACGCGCTACCACTATCTTTTGTCACACTCTGAACCATCAAGCCAAGCTTCATCTTGTGTTATTCAATAGAATCAAATAAATTTTATTACGCTTTTGTGTCAACATACAATTTAAACAAAAAAGACGGATTTATATTTAACAATTCTAACTATTCCAAGCACTAATTTTCAAAAATAGTATTTTATAAATTAATAGAACAAATAATCTATCAAGTCCATATTTATATAAAAAGATGAATTTTAATATCAATAAAATTATACAAATAAAATAATTAATTTAATATTTAAATTACAAATGATATAAATTTTAATTTTTTATATATTTGTTAAAATTATTAATTAATATTTTAATTTACATTAACAATTAATAACAACATATTTATTATTTATAGAAATAAAAATATTAACAATGGAATAATTATTTTAATAAATTAAAAATTATGAATTTGTATAGGATATGTATCTTAGAAATTTTAACAAATTTGATATACTTTAAGTTAATATTATATTTTTGTGAATTATTAATTGGTATTTTAATTTGCATTTGAGATTTTAATATTTAATTGATTTTTTGTTAATGTTAAAAAATTAAAATAGTAAAAGAAAAAATAAGTGATATAATAATTAAAATATAATAAGCACATGCATTTAATGTCTCGGACTCTTGATTGATGCATTATAAATAAAATTATATGATATCCACGCACTCCAATATATAAATTGTAATATATTTTTTCATATACACCATTAAAATATACAATTTCTATGTATTTATATACTATTTGTAACTATTTTGGTCTTAAATCTAGTGTTATTAATGTATTTGTGAAATTTGTATGTATTTCCTAACATATTCATTTGTTTTCATATTTTTTGTCTGTATCCATGTGTTTCCAAAGCGTATTCGTATCCATATCCGAATTCTCCAATACGATACCTGATACAGATACTTTAATCATTGGTTTAGATTGAATTGATCGACCCAAACGTACCAAATCAAGGTGATTAGATCTATTTTAGACCGAGTTGAACTACTCCGTACTTGGGTCGGGTTGATTTGGATTTATGTCAATTTGGGTGAAGTGTGTTGATTCGAGGCAAAACTAATTTTAGTCAATAATTAATAGAAAATTAATGCATTAATTATAAATTATTTTACTCATAAAGAAAATTTAAAAAAAAACTAAAGAATTAATACTTGTATCTTTAGTGGTTAACCCAATGGTTATCCCCAACCCAACCCATTTAAATTGACCTAATAGATGATCAACACATTTCCAACCCACTAAGTAAATGAGTGGTTTGGATGAATTAGATACTGGGTGGGTTGGGTAAAAAATTGCCTCCCCTATAGGAACGCATGTAAGGTTGGAAAGAACAGAAGGATATGCAATTGTGTGCAGTCTGACAATATATTTTTAACAGTACTTTTGTGATCTCAAGAAAGAATAAGGGATTTTTGGACAGCAATCCCCCTCAGAAATCTAATTTGCAGCCCCTCCTAGTCTACTAGTAGCTCCACCTAAGCATGGACTGAATGGTAAAATCACCGAAGAATAAAGGCTAAATCCAAAAAGTCTAAAAACTTGGACATCAGTTCATATTCCAAAGCAACAAATCAGTAATCTAGTCTAAGATCCCAGAGAGGAAATATCAGTATCAAAACCCTAACCGAGGATATTCCCCACCAGACTCGTATTCAGGTGATTCTGCCAATTTGGTGGGGGCCTTAGCTCTCTCTCAGTTTGTGGTCACCCTTCATTCTCTGCGGTCTGTCAGATCGCCAGATCCGAGAGGACTTCACTCCCTTTTCATCACCATTACTCCAACTTTCAAAATTTCGAACCGATTCAGTCAATTCCACTGCCTAAAAGGGGCCTAGTGAAAATTATGGACACCTCCACTTCATTCATACAAGTTGCAACAGTTGAGGGCCACTTACCCAACACTGGATGGGCACAGCGAGGCACAGGAGATTCCCAAGGTCACCAAAAAGGAAATTCTTTTATTTTCATCTAAAAGGTCTGGAGTCTGGACAATTCGAAAATAAAATATACGTATACGGAATGCAAATTTGCTATATAGCCTGTTAAAGAAGTATGTCGTACAAGTGGAGCATCATCTCAACTTAACCGTATATACGAGTACGACCAGCATTTTGGGGGAACAAGTGTATGAATCTGTAACTATAATAGCTTTCTGTGTGAACAAACATGTAGTTCTATTTGCAATAGGAAAGACTAGATTAAGGGAGATCCAATACCTATTTTTTAACTTTTCCTATTTGTGATTTAGTATCATTTCTTTTCACATATTTCCATCCATTGCCAGCAAGTTTATTTGTGGAAAGAGAGATTAACAGAGAAATATATAATAATAATAATATGGCAGGATATCTTTTTTTAGTTGAAATGGAAGGTCAGGAATATTTCAAAATTTACCCGTTCACTGTGAGTTCCTCATCCTCCTTGCAGCAAAAAGTTGGCGAAGGAAGGAAAACTTCCCTCTTCCACGTGCAGATGACTCAATCATCATACCATCACTTGGTGTAACCATCTTGGCAGTGTCTGATTCTTGTGAGGGTGGCAAGACAGGTGAGAGTGTGAAAAGGAATGCATTGAGCATGCGAATAATCTGGCTGAAGCTAGGCCGGATGTTAGGGTCCTCCACCCAACATGATTGTATGATGAATGCAAGATCAGGCGGTAAATCTTCAGGAAGACTTGGCCTTGCTTGCTGCCCACCCAGATAATAGCACATGGTAATCAAATAAATTATAAAAAAGTTGTACAGTTCAAAACATTGCATACTGTATGGTTCACCAATATAAATAATTTTATTGTTCAAAACAAAAACAATTTCCACATCAGTAAAAACAAACCCTAAAGATGCATTATGGAAACACAATCATTCAATCAAGAAACCTTAAACGCAGTCCTGGAAATGTTAACAGCCAACAAAGTAATTTCACTGCCATTTGTCAGTAGGTTTGAAGATAGTGTTTTTTCTTTTACTTTCATGCCGAAGGCAAATTTTCATAATCTTGTAATCAATGTTACACCCACATTAATCAAGACATTAAAGGCTACAAGACAAGGTACTACTGCCTTGTCACCTAAGCACTTAGGCACCAATCTTAGGTGGCTTCTATGTATTGGTTTTTGAGTTAAAATTTATAATTTACAGGATTTTGTCCATAATGGTGTAACATATTTTTACTTCCTTCTTATTTTATAATGAAAATTAATAAAAAATAGAAAATAACAATGAAATCATAGTACGTTATATCATTCACATCATAAAGCAAAATCATTTCTAGAGATAAATTGTAATATATCATAGAATTACTTCCATATAGCAAGCCATCAAGGCATGTGCAAACCTTTAAGCTGAATCTGAACTTTTTTTTGATGGGGTTCAGAGTATTAATTTCACCTTATAAACTACTAGTGTAAGGGCACATGCTATAAATGTGCAAGAAAAGATAAAAGGATAAAAGATGAGTATTTAACCTTAACTAATATCATACTCTAATTTAACTTTTATGACCTGCACCAGAACCAAGTCAAAGTATTGGCATTATATAGAATAGATGAAGAAAAAATCTTATAACCAATTGGTAGTTTGTTCTTCTATGTGAAAGTTGAATCATAGTAGCATGTGAATGGAACATAATTCACAGTTTCACCATCACATTCACAAGTTATAAGATTTTATATTAATTTAAGTTGTTAATATGAAACAGATCTTTAAAAAAGAAAGGAAATAGAACCAAGTCCGTCAACATTTCCTTGGTAGAGATGAAGGAAAAAATCACATGTTTAGCATGGTATAAATAAAAATAAGAGCAGCCTAGGAGGAACATAGAACCTGGAGAGAACTTTCCAGAGAGCAACCAACTAGAAGCAGAAGTTACAGTGGGGGAAAAACACTTCATGATGGAAGAAATAACAGAAGGTGGCTATGCAGGATTAAAGAAGAAAGAAATTGGGACAGGAACAGTCTTAATGGATGATGAAGCATGGTTGGGCAAAAACGATTTGTGGCCTTGTGGGCGAAGCTTATCTTGCAAACATCAGATTGGACTGGAAAAATGAATGTAGTAGCCAAAAAGAAGATTTGAAGTGGAAAGGAAAGAAAACAGGTGCAACAGGTACATACAATTGGTGGAAATTTTTGCATAAGGGAAGTTGTAGAGAGTTTGTATTCTGGAGGGATGACAACAGGTGCAACAGGTACATACAGTTGGTGGAAATTTTTGCATAAGGGAAGTTGTAGAGAGTTTGTATTCTGGAGGGATGACATTCTTTGGTTCGATTGCTTTCGCAAAGTCTTTTGCAGACCTTCATAGAAGACAGAAATATCATGAGTGAAGAGACAAGAAACAAATCCTCTGCTTATGCAGGATAATAGTTGTTACAACATGTAGAAGGCCTCTAGTAGTGATCACAGAGGATTTCCCAGCATAGGACAATGTCTTCATAATATCACTTAACAAGAAAACCTGTGATTGATTGGGCTCCTTTTCTTTCTGATGGATGATTAGGCTCCCATTAATAGGCAAACATGACAGTAATAGATCTACTACAACCTAAGTATGGAAGAACAAAATATACTTTTTATATTACAAAAAATACAAACCAAGAAAGTTGTGATATGAGACCATGGAGCCCAGAACATTGTCTGATTCATTATATGGCCATTATGTTCTTTTTACAAAATTACCAATTACCATCTGTTAGTTCCCAAGCTATGAATTAATTGTCCAACTTTATCATCTACATCTTCACAGTTTTACCAACTTGACTGATTGTATTTTCCAATATATGCCTTGCAAAGTCTTCACCTAGAAATGCTAATCTTTTGGCATTTCAAGAGTCCTTGTCAGGTGAATTTAAGTACACAGGATCCCAGTACAAAAAGGGAGGGAGGGAAGAAAGAAAAAAAAAATGAATAAGGTTTTAGGAATCAACAAGACATCAAGTACATCCTTGAATCATGCTAACAATATAAGATCAACAAGAACAAAGAAAAGAAAAACGAATTATCACACCTTAAAAGCAGCAGCATAAGCAGCCTGCAAGTTGGACATGCCTTCAAATGGCATTTGGTTGGTCAATAACTCCCATAGAACAATTCCAAAACTATAGACATCAACCTTGTTGTTATAATGCTTCTTCTCCCCCTGACGCAAAGTCACTGTACTGTACAACTGCAAGGTGAGATTCTAATTCTGGTAAAAAGAGAGTTTGTGGAAATCCAGGAAGGGAAATAAAATAGAAAATTGCAATCGCTTCTTTTTAGAAATTAGGCTATGTTTGGTTTGAGGGAAAAGGTAAGGAAAGGAAGGGAAGGCAGGGAAACCTAATACAAGGTTTGTAAAGGTTTCCCTACCTTTCCCTACTTTTTCCTTTAAACCAAACAAAGCCTTAATGAATAAGTTATCCTCCTTTCCAAGCTTATTCTAGTACACCTAGAAGTACTGCTGTTATAGACTTATAGGTAATTAGTGCAGTTTCTCTTTTTAAAATTAATAATAGTAATGGAAATTTATTAACAAAGAAAAAAGGGACAAAGTCTTAGTTACCCTCTCTAAGTAGGGGTGCAACTTGGGTGGGCTTGGGTTGGTATGTTGTCAAAATTTGAATGGGCGAAACAGTGTAAAATTATAACTTGGGCCAACCCATGTTGCAAAGGGTCAAAAGCACCCTACCTGCCGACCAACCCTCCCCCCCCCAAAAAAAAAAAAAAAAAAACATAATAATAACAATAAAGTTCAACCAACAATTAATTTGGGTTTCCCCTTCTACTTCAATTTTATGCAACACAACCTTTGACAACCATTGGCCTTATATTACTGTAAATGCCTCAACAATTATAGTCCCCTTTCCAACCCCTACTGTGAAAGAGAAAGTCCCACTAGACTGCATATGGTAGGTACGGGAAAAAAATTTAAGGATCTGAAGTATGAGATAAAAGATTCAAATCTGAACACCTTTAGGCTTCATTTGGTTTGTGGGAAGATTTGGGTGGGATGGGATGAGAAAGTGTAAAGTGATCACTTTTCATTGTTTGGTTATAGAAAGGAAAATAGTGGGAAAAATCTTTTTTCCATGTTTGTTTTGTGGAAAGAAAACAAGTCCGATCGAAAGAGGGGAGGAGGAAGAAAACACCAGGTTGAGCATCCTGAATTTTTGATGCATTGTCATTCAAACAAAAGCTAGTCATGACCAGAGGAGGAATCGGAGTCATCAGATGAGTAGTTGTAGTACGAATAGGGTGGAGGAAAGCAGAAGAAAGCCCACAAGCAGAGAGAGCTAGACAACCTAACTGCTGCAATGGTAAACAGCACACGAGCTCAATACTTGTTGGCTGTTCAATATTTCTGGATTGCAAGCTATGTATTGGCACACATTCGCCGAGAAGTTTGGTACAACCACCACAATAAGACTTTGAAAACCATATCTCCTGTGTATTCGGCCCTCTCCTATTTTCTGATGCTAAACTTCTTCCTATTTCCACTATTCTTGTGAGTTGCAACATGGAAAACCAGGGGGGAAATGGAATTTCAGTCCGGCCAAACCTTCGCCGGAGACGTTGAAGGAAACAACTGGGTCTCCAACCATTGAGGGGGGAAATAAAAGGGATGGGGAAGAAGGAAGAGCAGGCCACATGTGAGCAAAGGAAGTAGAGGATGAATCTGGTCTTACCTTCGAACAAAATGACCGGAGAATCGTCAGAGTTCTGACCGTTGGGATGGATAGAGGTTGAAGAAGAAGAGCCTCTTGAGGTTCTCTCTCTCTCTCTCTAACAAGACCAGCAATATTTTCTCAGTAGAGCTTTCTCGCTGGGGTTGCACTGTTTTGGTGCGATCCCAACTACACGATTTTGCGATCCCGCATCCCACATTTTTCTAATCCCATCCCCCTATTTCCCTCAAAACAAATAAGGGAAAAGGGAATATTTTTGGAATATTTCCTTTTTCTCATTCCCATCCCACAAACCAAATGGAGCCTTAGAGATACGGAAATAGAAATTTTCAATTATAATTTCAACTCAAAACAAACTTTATTCCATCAATTAAATTTCAATTACAATGGCTCTATTTATAAACTACACATTAGGGATCAGATATAAGGATGGCAATTTTCCTCGTTCCCATCAAGAACCCAGCTTCCTCAACCCCATCAGGTCAGGGATGGAGATTGCCTTGGTAGGGATGAGGGTGAGGATGGGGAATGAATTCCCCACCCCCACCCTGAATATATATATCATATATTAAATATATACATATATAATATTATTTATATTATTTATATCAAAATATATTTAAAATATCTTTATATCTTAAAATTTTCCCTTATTTTAAGTATATCTATTTTTTAAATAACTCTAATTTAAAATTTTCAAGGATTCAGGTCCCCGACAGGGAACGCGTCTCCATTGGGGATCTGTCAAGGATGAAGGGTCATTTTTATCCCCGTCAGAATCGGGATCGGGGACGGGGACCGGGATTTGTTTGAAAGTTGAGGTCAAACAGGGAATATGGTCCCCGCCCCGTTGCCATTCCTAATTAGATAACTAAACACTAGGAAATTTATCTAAAACAACTAATTGCTTTGGATCTAAGATTAAAAAAAAGAACATAAGGGCACTCATGGATTTCCAACTCCTGAAATCTAAAAAGCCACTATTCATCCTATGAAAATTAGAAAAAACAACAAAAGACCTCTTTTTTATTGGTAAAAACAAAAAACACCTCTTAGATAGACCCAAAAATCAAAAGACTCAAATTTCATCATAGTGATAAAAAAAAGGCCACTACATAATGCTGGTCCCAACTATCTAAGGTGGAAGAAGTGGACTGGAGACAAACATAACCTTTGACATTTTTTAGCACATAGTGGCCACACAGGTGCCCCCATAGGCTCAAACCTGCATTCTCACGCTTGTCAGCTCAAGATTGTACCATTACACCAAGCAATAACCCCTAAAATAGCATTAATTCTCTCAAAGCATGCAAGCTTTACAAGATCTTGGTCTTGTTAAATTGAATAGATGAGTCAGTAATGTATCTAACGTTACTATGAAAACAAAAACTAGACAAGGTTTAGTCATTGAAAATATGCTAACAAAAGAGTGAAATGATTGTATCTTCAACTTAAAAAAAAAATGGCCCATTAGGATACTCAAATTGAGGCAGTAACAAACTAGAAAATGACTTTTAGAAACTCAAATTCACCAAAATCCTTATCACCCAAAAAATTATGCCATTACCACTAGTGAAGGAATATGACCATTTGGGCCCATAAAGATGAATTAACCCTATCCTTTAGGCAATAGCAAACTAGAAAATAACTTTTAGAAACTCAAATTTACCAAAATCCTTATCACCTAAAAATTATGACATTGTCACTAGTGAAGGAATGCAAAGCAATTTGATTTCTTCTTTCATGGTTTTTTCCATTATCCATATCTGTACCAACAGGAGTGTCACATTTTTTTTATCAATAGCAAAAAAAATTCATTAAAAATTTAAACTTTGAGTACAAAGGGGAGATAAACCATTTTAAATCCTTAACTCCCCCATGAAAAACTAAGGCCACCCCAAAAAGAAAAAATACATTTACAGATGAGCCCAAAAATAAAGACTCCCTATTCACTCCGTGTTTAGCTAACCCATCAGCAAAAGAATTTGCACTTCTCTTTACCCATATACAATTATACATTTTACATCAATGTCCTTTGTCAACCATTTGAACTTCTTCTTTTAATTACTGTAGTAACAAAGCCCACTCTTATCTTCCTTTAACCAGCCCACGACCACCTCTGAATTGACAAGAAACAAGAAACAAAGTGCCAGACACCAAGCCCCCCTAAATCTAAACATGGAGAAGGCATTACAATACATATATGCATATGTAAATTGTGATGAAATTCCTTCATGTACATTTAAAAAGTGAATGGAATTTTTATCAATAAATCAATTCATATATTAAAAGCAGAAAATATATACATCCAATAAATACAAGGATACAACTATAAGTAAACAAAACTCACACATCAGCAGGTCACCAGTCCAGCCAGCATATACCCATAAATGCTACCCCATTAGCCTTCTACTGCTAATTTCTTGTGGCTTACCAATAAAGTGCATCTGTAACTGAATCAATATATCTTTGGACTCATTTGAGCCAAGTGAATGAAGAAGATAGACATGTCAGCATGTGCCCAATTGCATGTCTGACATTTCCTGGCATGGGTGTCATGTAAGCAAGTTTACATGCCATAAACCTAGAGGAAATGGTGTTCCCAAATGATAAAACTGATAAGATTGCTTAATTTTCCATCAATATATCTTTGGACCCATTTGAGCCAAGTGAATGAAGAAGATAGACATGTCAACATGTGCCCAATTGCATGTCTGACATTTCCTGGCATGGGTGTCATGTAAGCAAGTGCCCTACGTGCCATAAACCTAGAGGAAATGGTGTTCCCAAATCATAAAACCGACAAGATTGCTTAATTTGCCATCTATGAAAGCGCCAGTGTCCCACCAATATCAGAGTTTTCCAACCATTAAAATTAAGTCTAAGTAATGGGACTAGGAAGAACTTACTCCTTCCTTCTCTTTGTAAATGATAAAACAGATCAATCTTTAACCATTTGGAATCCATGGACACCTGGCTGAAAATGTCATCAATCTTTATCAAGTGCATGACATGCTGGACATTACCAACCACCCTTCTATTCCTTTCTCCCAAAGTCCCCCATAGAATATCCCTCAAACAAATTAAAGGTGATAACTTAAATGAATTTGGATTTACAAGCAATTATTTTTTTATGCCAATTCTAAAAATCATGTCCCAGTCAAATGACAACCAAAAAGTTCTCTTGAAAATAAACAAATGTGCAGACAGATAAAGGGGGTAAACGATCCCCAGAACAATCAAAAGCTTCTTGGAAATCCTTTTCTAAGCAAGAAGGTTCACTGCCTTGTTCATCCTGCAAAGAATTCCTAGAAGATACTCAAGAACTGACTAACAGTTTAGAATCATCACTCACCGTCCAGTTCTATAACAGCAGCACACAAATAGACTAGTAGCTATCTAATGATAATTAGGAAAGGCACAAACCTCAGGGGCCATCCAGCGGTAGGTTCCAGTTTCTGCAGTCATCATCTCAGTAACAGATTCTTCTCTTGCAAGACCAAAATCAGCAAGCTTTACAGACTTCTGATTTGCCGTGAGTAATAAATTGTCTGCATCATTAATTTTCATAAATATACATGACTATAACAATGCATGACCATGTCTACCATTACTTTTCAGAGAGAGAGAGAGAGATCTTAAATGATATATGTGGCCAGGGGATATCAAGCTGTATATTCTACCATACAATTTGAACATCCAAAGTACTGTCCAAAAAAATTACCCACCAAGACATGCAGAAGCTTAAGGTGAAAAAAGGACATCTAAGTAATAGGGAAAAGTGAAGTAACTTCTTTTAGCATTTTATATAATTAATTTGGATTTATCTAATAAATCGAATCCTCCAAAACACTCATTTCAATTTCATCATCAAATGGCAGCAATCCGAATGTTTCCAACAGAAGCAGCATAATCAGCAGCACACTCAAAAAATAGTAGAAAAAGAAGATATTAGATGCTAACCACCAAGATGATCTTTAGTCAATAATTGAGGAGCATAAAGAAATACTTGAAAAAAGAGAAATCAAACAATTGCAGCACAGATAACTATAGCAAACTCAAGTAAAAATTAATTGTCATACAGCACAATTTGCTATACCAGGTTTTAGATCTCTGTGTATAATCCCATTTGCATGTAAACAATCCATGGCTCGGGCAATATCAAGAGCATAACCTATTGCAACATGAAGATCCAACTGTTTTGGACGAATACTAGTCAAATACTTCCGAAGTGACATCCCTGGTAATAGTTCTGTAGCTATCACCATCAAAGGATCCTTACAGGCACCAATGAACTGCGAAGGGGGAAAACAAATTGAAAGACAACAAGCAGGAGAAAAGGGTAAAAAAAAGGTAATTAATGGTGATACATATATATATATATATATGAAAAAATACCTTGACAAGGTTCTCGTGTTTTACTCTTGACATCATGGTTACTTCCCGGGCAAAACGACCTTCAAGCACTTCTCTTTCTTCTGGGGTTTTTCCAGAATGGAGAACTTTAACTGCAATTATTTGATTGCCATACCTGAATTAATAATTGATGAATATTAGCATTCATCGACGATAAAGCGATTATCATATTTATGTAGGCTAGAATACCAGCTAAGCATGCAGTACTGGAAAACTGTGGTTTGTCCTGATAAAAGTGAAGGCAACTGCATTGCGTGCACAAAAAATATGCATTTTAGAAATCTTGATACAATCAAATTACATTCATTTGGCAAGGTTTAGAGGCACAAAAAATGGTGGAGAAAAAAAAAACCAAGGGTTTTCTGTAAGCAAAACCCTACCATTTTTAGGTTTAATTTGGCGTTGTAGCAACTGTTACAAAAAAGAAAAAGATATCAAGAGATAAATCGGGCTTAATTCCATAGAAAATGAATGAAGAGGAAACATATTCTGTGATTACATAATATCAACATTAAAACAAAACTATTAAAAAAAATATGAACAAAATAGAGTCAAATAGGAACATTACAGTGTGAGTCGATAAGCTATGTGCAATGAAATATTGTAGATAAGGTCAAAATAAAGGACAAACAGTTGATAGCTGATATTTAAAGAGAAAAAGGTTTGAGACAAATATATAAATATTGAACGGTATGTCTATGGTGCTGTAAGCAGTATATAGCAATAGATTGATTATTTATTAGTTTCCCACAACACTAGGAGTGGTGGAATTTAGCATCTATAATGGTTAAAGTTTTCTTAAACGAAAGAAAAATGCCCCCTTTACCATAAGCTTTAAATTACCTTCCTTCGTAAACTATTCCATGGGCTCCTTCTCCAATTTTGGATCCAACGTAGAGTAGCTTCGGATCGATGAGAAGTTTTTCATCAATCTTGAACTCTGTTCCAGGAATCAACTCATTCTGCGAGGCCGACTGTTTCTCTACATGGAAACCAACTTCAACAGATTTGTCCCTTGCCGATTGTCCAAATTCCTCCTCATCTGCACCTTCTTTGTTCTCCTCGCCGCCGCAACTCATGTTGCAGCCTCAAACTACAGCTTGGCGCCTCATTTAAATTATCCTTCTTGCTCAAGTAGAGAATAACCAGCTCATGAATAGACACTTCCCTGCTTAGTGGAGGGAGCCTAAAGCTTCGCTCCCACTCAAATACAGCAACTTTTAGGAAACATTTCTTGAAATCACTTGTATGTCCTCCAAGCATCAAACGAAAACCTAATTTCTGAAACTTTTGGTCCTCTGTTCAAATTAACCATCGATATTAGTTAAAGAAGAGGAGAAAACAAGAATCTCCTCTACGCCAAACGCCTTTTCTACGCAATTCAATGTGACAATCATCAAACCTCTCTCGTCTGTGCTGATTCATTTACAAAGCTAAATTAATTCCGAAAACCTTAACAGCAGTCAATAAGCGCAGTAAGCCTGACCACAAATCCGATATCCGGTAATTTCACCCAAACTATACAGTATACGCCTCGGAATCTATACCTTGTATACAGAACTCTAGCAGTTGTGATGCCTCATAGAGATTGAGATAAAATTTATCAATAGAGAGAAACAAAGGAAGAACTTAAATCGTGAGCTCGGGATTGTCTTTCTCCTTGACTGGGTTTTAGTTGAAAACCCTAACCCGAAAAATCCCCTTCATCGTCTCTTTCTCACTCTAAGCTTCTCTCCCTATGCTCCCTCCTTTCCCCCTTCTTTCCTCTCCCTCTCTCTCTCTCTCTGATCAGACGCGTTTCGGTAAAGATATTCCGAGTATTTGTCCCGGTCAGGGCTGATAGAAGGGGAAATGGGATGTGGTGAAGTTGGCTGACCAATCAAAAGTAGACACGCACTACAAGGCATGGAGGAAAAGCTTGCGTTTGCAGGCATCAGCGATTTGGACGTTCTTGGTCGAGGGAAGGGCCGAAGGGGTGGCGCCTGGCAGATGCCTACACGACAGATAAAAGATTACCCAATCCTTAGTGGCAGCGGGATTTGATCCCAGATCTCTACTCTAACGAGTCAGAGAACCTACCAACTGAGCCACCATCAGTTGGCAGTTCCGCTTTTTCTGGGCTCCACTGATCTCGTACTCAATATAAAGTCAAACTAATAGCTTAAAAATATAAAAAATAATAATAATTAATCAATATGTTTCATAAAAGTCGTAACCGATCAGATCAGCTTTACTATTACCCAAAAAAAATCAGATCAGCTTTACTCGTCAAAATTCACGAACGTTCTGATTGGTCAAAATTCTTCGGGCGATATAGAATTTTTCATATAAAAATGATTTTTTGTTGAGTAAAAGGAAGCAATAGAGTAAAATGAATTTTTACTCTATTTTTTAATATAAAACTATATCATTTTTTTAGTAAAAAATAGGGTAAATTATAAAACTTTCCCCTGAAGTTTCTAACTATCATAAAAATTTTCCCTATAGTTTCATTTTAACAAATACATCCCTTGAACATTTGAGAAACTAAACAAAAACCTCCCTTATGTCAACTGTCCCAAACGGAAAACATTAGATTGATGCATCAGTTTTTTCCAAATATCCATTCTACCCTTTTATAAATTATTTTACATACAAAATTACTGAAATAATCCCATTTTAACTCAACAAAAAAAACATATTTCAATAATTTTGTATGTAAAATTACTGAAATGATTGTTAAAAGAGGTTTTTGTTGGGTTAAAATGGGGTTATTTTAGTAATTTTGTATATAAAATAATTTAGAAGAGGGTAGAATGGGTATTTAAAAAAAACTGATGCATCAATTGTTGAGTTTCTCAAAAGTTCAGGAGAGATATTTGTTAAAATGAAATTATAGGGGAGGTTTTTATATTTTACCCAAAAAATATGAATGAATGGATCAGTTGATAGGATATATCATCTTTGCCACCTAGGTGGCCTCAACTTTCTCCATTACCTTAAAAGGAGAACTCTCAGCCCCTCTCATTTTTGCCTTTCTTGCCCCCTTATGAAGCCATCTCATCATTCCCTTCTCCCTCTCTCATATCAACACCTCAGCAATCAGCATGCATAGCCCAATCACACACACACTCTCTCTCTTCCATCAGACGTGAGCAACCTTCTATCTTGCCTCTTCCTCCCTGCTTCTTCATCCTCTTCTCAACATCTACTTCATTCTTATCACAGTCCTATTCAAATGCAGCATCATTAGGTCATATTGTAAAGTGATCCTTTATTTTTCTTTTAGGCTCAGTTTGGAAGAAGTACAAATATGTAGAGTGCAAAACTATGTATTTTATATATATTTGTATTTGTATTTATACTTCTTCCAAACTTAGCCTTAACTGTTTACACAGTACAACAAACATTATAATCACTTGATAATGCTTCTTTTCCTATAATCTTAATTAGGCCTATTAATCTTTCCTCGAAACGGCAGCTTTGGAGAAACAGATGTAAGTAGGTGTTTTTGAAAACCAACTGAACTAAAGTTTCAATACTCATAAAGCTTTGCAAGAGATGTTTTCTTTCCATAAAACATGATCTGACTATCCTCAAAAGTATTGTGATAGAGAAGTGACCAAAGTTTGGGTTCGACTGGTCATTTCTTGCAATTTACTCACACACTCTCTCATTATGAAATTTTATGTTTCAGATGCTGCACATCAAAATTCGTTGTCTTCAATTCGGTTTTCGTTTGATTTGGTTATTAATCTTCCAAACCGGTAGCTGAGTCTCTGGTTACTATTAAAAATAAGTAAATCTTGCTGGTACCTTTGCTTCCGTCTCTCTCTGTTTGGGACAAAGAAATAGGAGTGGAATAGGGGCACCACGTTTCAGCGATGGAACATGTGATGTTTCTTCGTTTACTTCTCAGTTTTCTCTCATTTTTTTACTGCGCATCTCTCACTATTTAATGCTATAAGTCATCTCTTCGTATTTCAGGTGCTTTTGGTTCTTCAAATTAATCTCAACTCATTCATGCTGCAAATCAATCCTCTCCTCCAATGTCAGTGTATCCCTAGCTTATTTGAGTCAGTTTTTATACAAAGAATGTCCAACTTTAATTGATTTGGTATAGCAAAATTATAGTGAAAGGGAACTGTTCTTCGCTGCTGTGATCGCTTTGTCGAGCGGCCACTATAGCGAAAAACGGGTGAAGAAGAAGGTATATTACCAATTTCTGGGTTCATCTCTCCATACCCGAAACCGGATCCAAGTAGAATTATTATGATCTGGGTCTACCTAGCGTTCTGGATCGTTTTTTATCCATACCCAACCCAAATGGTTTATTCAACCATTGATTAGTTAATTAATGTTAAATAAATGTAATTAGTGAAAATTTTGAATAATTTTTAATATTATTAACTTACCACAAATTAGTAAAAATCATAAATAATCATCATTGCTTACAACAAATTAGCAAATTATTATTAATAAATTAGTTGTAGTTAGTGAAAATCATTAATAAATTTCAAAATTTATTAGTGAAATTAATCGTACTTAGTAAAATTTCCACTATTTTAGTTTTAGTAACTACTTACTAAAACCCAGTTCAGTTGAATCCCAACATACATCCGCCGACCATTGTTTCCAAGTAAGTCAATCTCATATCCAATGGTTTATTAGGATGCTTTTGGGTTTCTCATATCCATTTACTTGATCTGAAGGTAGTAGGCCCTTGAAACACTCATTTCAGCACCATTACTCCATTCACATATGTTGTGTTCGCTCTTTCGAGTAAACATTGTATATGCCGGATCGGGTGAAAGAAGGTAGGTTAAATGGATTGGGTATGGGTCAGCTCCTTTCCTATCCAAGTCGTAGGGGTGCCCATGGTTCGGTTGGGGTGATTTTTTAGGCTGAACCGAGTTGTTCAGTTTTTAAATTTAATCAAATTGAAACCGAACTGATTTAACCAGTTAATCGGTGGATCGGTTAATTGCGGTTTGGTTTTTCAAGTTTTTTTTTATGTACTGAAAATTAAAAAAAAAAAGAGGAAAAAACCTTCCTCTTGCAGAAGAAACTAAGAGAGATGAGAGATTTAGAGAGATGAGTGACTGAGTCTAAGACTGAGAGAGAAGAGACTAAGTGAGTGTTGAGTGAGAGATAGAGACCGAGGACCGAGAGAAGGAGAGAACAGAGAGTAGGTCTGGCCCGTTGGGGAAGAAGAAGAAGAAGAGTCTAAGAGAGAGAGAACAGAGAGTGAGACAGTTGTTAAGATGAACAACAGCTATAGCCGGCTATAGCCGACTGTAGAGTGCCTAGTTTCTCCTCCTTTCGCTCGACCTTCTCTTAGCATCTCTCGATCATGGCGGAACAGATAGAGAAGTCATACTTGAAGCAACCGAAGGTGTTCCTATGTTCGATGAAAACCGGAAAGGGTGAAAACCGTCTCTGGTGTGGAAAAGCATCTCTGGGGTTCAAGATGCTGAGAGAAGCTATTGAAGTAAGTCTTGAACACCAAACTGGAAAGGCGAGAATGCTGATGGTGATTGATAAGTGGTGGTATTGGCTGCTTCAGGTTCGAACCTGTCTAACAGTCTAAGCAGAATTCATGGCACCATTTGGTTGTTGCGTATTGGCAGTTTCAAGTGGTCAACATTTCGTCGGGTTTGTATCTGAATAGGACAAATTTTATTTCTAGCCTTCTAGGTCTCTGTCCATGCTCAATGTTCACTGGACTGCCAGTCTGAGCAGTCTTGTGCTTGAATTTGATTTAGGCAGGATAGTTGTGGTCGCCAATGGTGGTCGCCGCCAAATGTTCTTCGATTTTCAAATAAAAAAACTTTTTTATTTGATTTTCAATATATATATATATAGTTAGTTAGTTAGTTAGTTAGTTAGTTAGTTAGTTCGGTTAATCGCCCATTTTTTTAAATAGTTAACCAAAACCAAATCAACCGGTTCGGTTAACCGATTTTTCAGTTTGATTTCAGTCGGTTTTTCGGTCGGTTCGGTTTTTCATTTTTTTTTTCAATGGTAACGGGCGGGGTGGGGTAGGGACGGGCAGCCTCTCCCCATCCTCATCCCCGTCCCTGTTCCCGCTAACAAGGATAAGGTTATCCCCATCCCCACGGGGATCCCCACTCCCCATGATTTTCTATAATGTCAAACATTTTATTTTTATTCTTTTTATTTTATTTAAAAAAATTAAATTAAAATGTATAATCCTATTAAAAAAGATTCAAACATATTTAACCATATTTTAAAAAAGATTAATATATAGTTGTATGTATACATATACATATATAAACACATTCATAAAGATATATATATATATATCAATGAGGATCCCATGGGGCAGGGAGTGCTCTCCCGACCCCCGCCCCGTCCTCTCCAATGAGGATGAAAAATTTCCCATCCCCATCCCTGCGAGGGAAATCATCCCCATCCCACCCCATTCGGGGCGGATCACCATAGGGATTGGGGAAATGGGGAAAATTGCCACCCCTAATTAGGTATGATTGGTTTTCTCATATCCAATTCAAGCCCAACTCATGTGACTTAAGTGATGTTGCTTTATATATGCTTCAATTAAACCGGTTGATTATTAATCATTGACTAATAAACTAACTATTTATTAATTATTAACTAATTGCTGCATATAAATCCACTAAAAATTATTAATTATTGACTAATTAGGGTTGGGCTCTAGTTAGGCCCACCCAACTTGCACCTCTATCTCCTTTTGCTTCAGTTTCTTTGAACAAAGCTCGTGCATCACACGAGTTTGAAAATTCATTTTAATAATACTAAAAATTATTGTTTAATATTATTGAATTTTACTACTATAAAGTTTAAAAAACTAACAAAATCATTTGAAACTTAATTATTATTAATTTTAAATCCCCTAATCCATTTAAAAATAGTAAAAATCAACATAAAAAAATTAGTAAAACTTAAAATAGTCTAATAAAAAATTAAAAACTAATACAATTAGGAATTTC